TTTGTACTATATCAAAAATTAAGCTAATAAAAACCAACTGGCATTGTCACCAAAGTTCAAAAAAAAAAAAAAAAAAATGATATTACCAACATGCATTATTATTGAAAAATAGCTCATGAAAAAAAGTTACCTCTTTCTGAGTGGGCAATATTAAATAATTATCATTATAATCCTAGCACAAACTTACCACATTATTTCTATTATTTTTGTGTATCTGTAGATAATTATTAACCTTTCGGAAAAAATAAACCAAATAATCTGATAATTTCCAAAGTTCTCTCATATGACAGAATTCTTGTTCTCATCTGGGATATTGAAACATATAGTAGTTACAAAATGGGAGATTTACCTGATACAAGAAATGAAAAGGATCAAGTATTTATAATTTGTATGACAGTTCATTGGAAAGATAACCTCAAACTACTATTGCAAATATGTTTGGTTGATATGGAGATGAAACCAGTTCCTGAGTGAATTACAGTAATATGTGAAAACTAGATTAACTTACTGAAAGCCTTTGCATTATGTTTGCAAAATTTAGCTTCTGATATACAGATAGGTTTTAATGATTCACAATATAACTGGCCTTTTATTATAGAAAAAGCCAAAAGTTTAGATATTCTTGAATAGATGTATAATCATATGTCACCTGAATCATCAAACATTAAAAAAATTCTAAAATGGAATTATCAATAAAGTGAGATAAAGATATATGATGAAAAATTTTATTCGAAGTATCTCAAAATCCCAGAGTGTATACCTATTGATGTTCATGCTTGCTTCAAAAAGTTATACCAAAAATCAGAAGCAAGTTTATTAAAATATTATTTAGAAAAATGTGGATTGAGTAGTAAGATAGATATGCCAATAACTACTATGAACAAAATATATGAAGATGCAATACTCCACTCCTCTGATATATTAGCTAAAAATATGTATGAAGTTGTAAATTATTGTATTATAGATGCATTGTAGTGCCAAGAGCTTATGGTTAAGCATAATGTAATCAATGATAATAGAGAAGTAGTATCTATCGCATATGTTTCTCTTTCTAATTCTTATTACTATATAGAAGGAATAAAAGTATGTAATCTGCTCAGTGCAGAAGCTTGGAAATAAAATATAATGGTTAGTATGATCTTATATAAACCAAAAGAAGAGGATGGGTTTCCTGAAGCTTATATAATTTTGTCTATAAAAGGTCTTGAAAATAAGCAAACTGTCACTGGTTTGGATTTTGCATCATTATATCCAAGTCTTATTATGACCTACAATCTTTTACCCAAAAAAATAATTTTAAATCATGAAGAGGCTATATCTGTAGCACAAAGTAGTAAAAAGCTTTATAGAATAGAATTCATGATTAATGAAGGTAAAGAGAATGAGCATAAAATTATTGCTTAGTCTGTAAAGCATGAAAATCAATTAGAAGAGAAAAGATTATATGCTAAGGTATTAGAGGAATTATGTAACAAGTGAGTTGAAATGAAGACTCATCTTAAAGCATTGGAAGATAAAAAGAAAGCACTTGAAAAAATGAGAAAATTTCATAATAAGGCAGAGTATGCTTCTATATGTTTTGAATATATTTGTATAGATTCCAAACAAAATGCTCTCAAGATATATATGAACACATTTTACAGTAAGGCAGACAATAGTATTTCTTCATTCTTTCTACTTGAATTGGCAGGTGGAGTTACTTCAGCTAGACAGCATAATATTAAATTCATTAAAAAGTTTGTTGAAGATAAAGGATTTAAAGTCAAATATGGAGATACTGACTTCTTATATCTTGTCTGTCCAAAAAAATATTTCTAAGAATGCAATATAGTATATAATAATGGAAATAGTAACTTAAGAGAGGATTACTGGTCTCAAATGATAAAAATATCTATGAATGTAATGGCTAAGCTTCGTAATGAAGTAAATGTTAAGCTTGAAAAGGACAATGTGACATCTTATCTTAATATAGCATATGAGAAGATCTTATTTTCTGTAGTATTTACAGGAAAGAAAAAATACTACAGTTTTGAGTATAAAAAGAAGCCAAATTTCAATCTAGGTGAGCTTTTCATTAGAGGGGTAGATATTGTGAAAAGGGGTCAATCTAAGCTCTTCTGTGATGTAGGTAAGGAAATTATGAATAGAACTTTGAAAGTTGGTAATGAGGAGACAATATACTAAATTGTTGAAAAAGTTCTTTAGGAAAATGTGAAAAAACTTTCCAAGTTAAATTATGATGAATTTATTCAGACATATATATAAAGACCTAAAAAAGAAGGTAAGCAGAGAAATATTTCTGTAGAATGGTTCGTTTCATGAATAGAGACTAAGTATTCTCATGAAGTATTGGAAAATCAACAGCTTATAAAGAAGGGTTTACCTGCTAATGAATACCTATATAAAATTTCCAAACCCAGTGAAAGATTTAGTTACATTGTAGTAGTACCTGAAGAGATTTATGAAAACTGTGGGAAAAAAATACCACAACAAAAAGGAGACTGTATGGAATACCTAGATGTAGTAAAAAAGTTCAACAAGAAAATAAATATTGATTATTATATTGAAAGTTTATTTGGTCTCTGTGCCTGTTTTATAAATTATGATGATAAATACCAACCATTGCCTGAATCTCTCTCAAAAGTCTTGGATCGCAAAAAGAAATCCAGGGAGAAGAAATTAAAAATTGCTAAGGATTTATTGCAAAGCAATGACTCTCTGAGTTTAGATGAAGATGAAATAGCAAAAATTAAAGATGAAGAGTCACAGAAGTTAGCTAAAAAATGGCTTAAAAATGATATTAAGAACTTACATAATGCTTCAAAAAAAGAGAAAGCTATTATCTGCCATTTATGGAAAGATGCTACTACTCACACAGAAAAAATATGTTCTGATATTAGCAAAGCTGGCATAATTAATAATGATTTCTTTAATGTGTTAAATAAAATTATAAATTCTATTTGTTTAAAGTTATCAGATCTACTTTCAAAATTGTCTAAGCTCAATGTAGAATATAGAAATAGGTTGTATGAATTAATTATGCAGACACAAAAATACAAGACTAATATTACAATTTTGGAAGAATATATATTTCGATATAATCTGGAATCAGAATATAAAGCATTAATAGATTTCTGAAATACATGGTATAAGGTAACTTGTCTTGAAATTGCATGTTTTCAAGCATTATCTATTATGCAAAACAGTAAAAAAATAACCTATCCAAATTAGATATTGATGAGATTATTGACCTATATTGTTAAGTGATCTTGGTTAGAATTGCCAGACTTCACTAAGATACATATACAATATTAATTATATTTTTTCATTTATAAATAATATCCAAGTTCAATTATAATACCCAGCTATTCAATCCACATATCCTGAAATCGATCACTTTTTCTCTCTAATCACCCTGTGCATCTCAATATTATAAACTACATAACTGCAATAATCAACAAGATAAGAAAAATATATGCTGATAGAGGTAACATTAAAGTACTTGCTACAACAGGGACCACTTCTATTTCTTCATTGGAATCTGGGAATTCAATTTAATCAATAAGGATATGTGTGCTTTAGCATCAGCTCTGCTGTTATTTTCTAGCAGTTTATATAGTACTTTGTGATATTTTAATTATATAGTTTTTATATTCTGCTTTCTTACATTAAATCTATTAGAAAAAAATCTAAAAATCATATAACTTCGATTATATTATAAAAATGCAAGATTATAATGAAATTGATACTAAAGCTCTTACCTATGCCAAAAGACATGAAGAACAATGCTTGGCTAAAGTTAGATTAAACCCTAATATTTATTTATAGGTTTGTAAAAATCAGCATTGATGGGAAGCATTCTATAGAGATATGAAACGAAATTATAGGTAGTGCAATAGTTGTCCTCATATATTTGAAAGATCATGTCGATATATATTCAAAGAATTATTATATAAAAAATTCTCATCTTGAAAACCTAAATTTTTAGGAGGCTTACAACTTGATGGATATAATGAGAAATTATATTTGGCCTTCGAATATAGTAGCAATTAGCATTATCAAATCATTCCCTTTTTCTATCCACAAGAACAAATTAATTTAGATGCACAAATTCAATGTGATTTGAAGAAGAGAGCACTCTGTTTTAAGAAAAGTATAGTTCTTATCACAATTCCTTATTGTGTTGTTGATCTGCCAACTTTCATCAAAAGTGCCTTGAATACATTCAGTTTCCTCCTAATACCCACCTAGGAGATAAATGCATATCCTTTACAATTTGAAGTTCTTCTTTTATGAATGGGTGTCTTGGACTGTTACGTAGCTTGTAGAGAACTGGCTGATTATTTTTTCTTGAAAATGATTTAATCAAAAAAATTTCAGAAGACCAGTTACAATCAGTAGCTCTTCTTCTCCAGCCTTCTAGTTCACTAGGTTCTAATAGATGCCAAACTTTAACATCAAATAATAGGAGGGGTTCATCATAACCTATAGGCCTTTTGTGCTTGACAGCTGGATCTGCAAAAATTTTTTTACCTTCTAATAATTTTTTTATAGCTTTATTGGGTGATATGTGTATTAACTTCATAGGAGAATCATTATATTTATCATTGTTAATATGAAGGCTGACAACCTATTCCCTAGATTTATCAGTCAATAGTAAATATAAGTTCATAGCATCTTGGTGAAAAAAGGCATGCTTTTCAAATTCTTGGTGATCTTGCTCAGTGATAGGCACACTTCATTTAGATTTAGCATACTGAATTCTCATGCCATGTCTGAGAAATAAATTCTTACACTCATTCATATATTCAGTTTCTTTATCTATGATTAAAACTTTTGGCCAGCTAAGTAGGCAATTTGGATTATTATAAATTTTCTGAATCTCTCTAGCCATTTGTGTAGCTGTTTTCTTAATCAAAGTGAAACTGCACTGATATCTAGTTGCAATATTCTTTATCACTTCTCGGTATTTTTTTTTTTAGAGCAGTCTTGCCTGTATGTTTTTTTATTAGTAGTAGTATAAGATTACATATTATATACAGAGTATATCAACGAAAGTACAACTAGTCACACATATAACTTTAGTCATTATCTAATTAAGGGTTCCGCCCATAGGTTACCCACTAGATGCCATACCTGAGACCCGCCTGTGAATCCCCTATTTAAACTTTCTGATTTTCAACACTTAACTGCATATATATACAATGTATACCACTATGTTTATGACAGAACAGGTTAGGGCTATCTAATTACTATTTATATCTAAGTCCCACCACATTGGATGTTACTAAGTATCCATAGTCCTTTCAAATTTACCCTCGACACAAACTTACTAAGTATGGTACCAAGATTACTTCTCAGATTTATCCAATTATAGTATATCCCGTATCTACTAGAACCGGTTTGGTGCCAGAAATGTTCGAATTTCGGTAAGTCTATTCCTTTTCCATAGTTTCCTTTTATGTTCACCGTATCACTTGCTAGTGCGCCTTCTCTTCATTTTTGGTATGTTCACTGCTTCTCTTGCATCAAGCACCAACTCTCTATATCAGGAATCTTTTTTCTGAGAACTTCCTTATATACCGATCTTCTAATTACATAGACTTAGCCACAGGGCTTCGTGTACATTCATATGCTTCTGTAGATTACAGAGTTGCCTCTAGCTGGAATTGAACTGTCGATCTTGTCTGTGGAGGGAGGGGTGCCTAGACCACTAGGCTACAGGACCCTATCCCTTTACTTCTTGGTATTTATAAGTTTGATTGCCAACTTTATTATGAGGTATAGGTGTAGTATCAGACTAGTGTACTTTATTTAATATTCGTACATTGTTAAAAAAAGCATATTGGATAAATTTTGGTCTAGGCTTATGGATCTGATATAAGGCCTGTTTGTTAAGCCAATTTTTTATTATAGCCAAAGTGAACTCATATCCTGCCTTCTTACAAGCATCCTGTATTTTTTTAGCTGTCCGATAATAACCTTCAGGCCTATAATAAATTTTTTGCAAAATAATCTCCTTATCCAAATTATGAACTCTTTGTGAGTCAATATAAATTATAGATTTCTCTATTTCTTTTTTTTTTTTTTAATTGTTAAGGTGAGGTCATGCCCTCAAGTCTTTATTAGTATATTGGTTATAGCTAGTACAATTTTTATCATACATCATCTATCACTATATATCTATTCAGACATAGGACTCAGACATCTTTATCTGTGACCTAAACCTACCAGAACTTTGTATTGTATCCCACTTACACCTAACCTGAATTTTTGTTTCACTACCGATTATATTAAGTAACCTGCATATTCCCCCCATGTCTCACAACCTATTTTTCACAACTCTCAAATTGGTCCATTGGGTCATTTGCTTCTTTTGAGCTCTCATCTTTGGTTTGCTCGAAGGGTGCCTCTCTAGCACATATCTCAAGCCAGGTTTCTGCTGCCGCTGCCATTTTCTCAATTCAGGTACTGGTAGCATGTATCTCAAGCCAGATCCCTGCTGCTGCTGCTGGTTTGCAACCCTTCTTAGTCTTAGCATTATTCAAATAAATTGTGCATTTAACCTGCCCCTTAAATACTCCCTTTTATGGTATAGTGGAACTATGTCTCAGAAATGGTACCCCATTTTCTTCCAGCCATTGGCCATCGTTTCCTTTCTACTTAAACACATGAGGACTTATTTTGTGTTTGCACTGCCCAAAGCCGGTTTGCATCCCTCTGTGTATACTGATCTATACAGATACCTGTATAAATCTGCATTTCCACAGATGCCCTGTGCTTGTTCGCAAAGGTCACTTCCAATTTAGGTATCTCAACTTTGATTAGTACAGTATTTATGTTGGTATGTTCTACTTGTTTCGCTATAGGCTTCCATATAGATGTGACCAGAGCTTTGGTTTGGTATCTTTAGATATACAGAACAGGCTACAACTTCTCTATACATACAGCTACCTTCTATTTTCAGTCATTTTATGATGTCAGAGGTGCTTCTAATCTTAATAAGCCTAATCCTTTGTCACAGGCCTTCTATGCATGCACCGCTTTTCTTATCACTCCAGTATATGTTACCTTGGTATCACCCTTCCAATCAATTACTTCCCAAGTTGGATGTGAAGATGTTGGTACTGCCCCATCTCCAGAGGACTTATATGCGCAATACTTCGTATAACAGAACCTTCTGTGATGCCACTGTTACCTGTAGTGCCTGCTCTCTGCAAAGTCAGTCTTCTTCTGAGAATTCCTTTTTCCGTCATGTACTGCACTTGGACTTAACCACAGGGCTTCATGTTTAATTACTAGCTCCTTATAGGTTACAGAGGCTAAAATCTTTTGGATTTTGCCTCCAGTCAGACTTGAACCATTAATCTTGACTGTGGAGATATGGGAGCTTAACAATTAAGCTATGGACCCACACCCAGTTTTTCCATTTCTTTGTTTTATTATAGTAATAAAAAACATAGAAAAGTTACAACAAACTAATCAGGAACTCTATAATGTAGTATCACAATTAGCTGAATCAAATAGAAATTTCGAACAACGGCTATATACCTTAAAAAGAGTTATAGGTATACACGAAGAAAGGATACAATATCTTGAAGAAGAGTTAAATAACACTATCGAGCTTTCTAGACAAGACAAAGAAGAATTATTAGAAGAAATCTCAAAACTCAAAAGAATTATTCACCAACTTGAAGAAGAAAATAAAAAGAAAGACAAGGAAATCTCAAATAAGGATAAGTTAATATCAGAATTTGATGAATGTGAATCAAAATTAAAAACCCGAATACGAGAAATATCTAAATCAGCTGGAAATATGCCTAAAGCACAAGATTATACAACCAGATTAGTAAACGAAAACGAATGCCTTAAACAAGAAATAAATACAATAAGAGTTAATCAAATAAATAGGATTAATAAATAAATTAGCAAAAAAATCATATTACAGATCTGCTTTGTTAAAATTTTGCATTAGCATTATTAAGATATCAAGATATATTAAAGCTTAGAAATATACAAGAGGCTTTACAAAATTCACAGGCATGGAATTTTGGTGAAAATGAATATGATTCTGATGAAAATTCTCTAGACTTGTATAATTCTGATAATATGAGTACAATAGCTGAATTGGCTGATGCTATAGACTGATTTCTAGATAATACAACAATATGTAGAACCATTTTAACAAATCAAATTAAAAGATCAACAAGAGCAATTTAGCATAAATATACTAACCTGCAACAAAATCTGGTAAACAAACGATGGAATCATGATATATACAGGCAGGAGTGAGACCAGACATTGCTTGAACTTCATCAGTTATGGACTAATGCTCAGAATCAAGTAAACAGAATGATAAATAATATAACAATAAAGCAAACCCATATCAGTGCATTACTATGTGAAAATTTTGCTTTCCAGTTATTATATTAGTGAAATGCCCACTATCTACAATGATGCAGAGCTGATAAAGCTTTGCTAGAATATAATCGAGATAGGTTATATAAACAATATGAGAAGTGAAAAAATAAGACTCATGCAGAATGCCAAAATATTTTAATTTTAAATTAACAAATTTTTGCACTACAAAATAATCCACCTAATATACAATGAATAGAAATAGCAGGAATACCGAAACTATTTTTTGACTAGATGAAGATATACCAGATTTCCTTGCAAAACTTAGATTATACTTGCAAAACCAAGAAGTAAATCCAGCAGATAATGCGGAAGGTCCACCAACAGGAAAAGAAGTAGTTATAGGATATTTAAGAAGATGTATGAAAGGAAGAGCTTTAGAATGGTTTGACAAAGAGATTATTACAAAACAGAATTGGGAATTAGCAAACTTACTTGATAATACAGAACAGGCCAACTTAGTAGCTATAAATAGGAGAACAGCAGTTCAAATAGGAAATCAAGCATTGAATGAAGCACTCGGCCAACCTGGTAATGCAATAGTCAAATTAAGAGCTGTAGAGGGTTCTTGGGATAAAGATTAGTGCATAGTAGGTAGTCGTCCTACTAACATTGCTGTTAATGCACCAAATGCTAATAATGGTACTACAGTAGTTGTAGCTGGCATTCATTTTGGTCAAGCCATATGGTGGCTAAAAACACATTTTCCTACAGTAGAAGAGGAGCTTCAGGATTTGCAATATGGAACAATTAGAAAAGAAAATATGACTATAGATGAATTATATAGAAAATTGTTACGAATAGGTAGACAAGCTAACTATAGGCCCAAAGAATTACATAATAAATTCTTAGATGCCCTTCCTATTCCATGGTTTGAAAAAGCTAAAGATATCAGTAAACATTTGCCATTAGATGAATTAGCTAAAAAGCTTTATGAGATAGAGTTACAACGAATTGCTAGACATAAAAGAGATAGAATATTTAATTCACTAGTATCTCAACAAGCATCTCGAGAAATATATGAACCCTTACCTATTTCAGCTTCTCAACAGCAAAGAATTTCTTTAGAAGATATGCAAAAAGCAATCCAATACACACTGGTACAGAAAAAAACTGAATACCAGTCTTTATTAGAAAAGCAAAAAGCCAATTTCCAATTACAAATGGCCTAGCAATCAGTTGCTCAAAAAGCACAAGCACCAGCTTCACAAACTGTTGAACCAGTTAGACAGCCAAGAGGTCCACCACCTTCATTACAAACAGAAAAAGGTATAGAAAATTATAACTTAACACAATATTTACATAATTTAGATATATTTAGTACAGAAGATTTCAACAGAAATTTTCCTATAAAGCATTTTCAAAAACCTTGTCCAGGACAATTATATTCATCAAATCAAAATGCTAGAATAGATAGAATAGAATCAAAAGTAAATGAAATCAGTCAAATGACATCTCAATTCAGGAGGATGATGCTTGAAAATCAATCCAAAAAACCTGTAGCTAAATCAAATTTAACATATCGATACTTTTCTCCTTTAATACCTTCCTAATTCCAATATGCATCTCCTGATTTGGATAATAATAAGGATGAAGAAGGTGGATATAACAAGGAAGAGAATAAATGGCATGCTCCATCTCAGTTAGAAAAAAAAAACAGGCACCAGTAAATGAAAAAATGCTTCTAGAACTTAGTCAGCCTGAAATATACAATGAACTATTACCAAAGCTTTCACTAGCAATGCGTAAAATGTGTCAGTTTCATATAGTTCAGGAAAAAGAATCAAAATCAGATGAATGGTTTTCGTCATTGCAATACTTGCATTGTAATATAAATGATCTATTGATCACTAATTCCTTTTTAGATAGCGCAAGTGAATTTGGGGGAGTGAATGATGCAACAATTAACGCCCTGAGGTGGAAAGCTGATAAGCCTTCTGACTTTGCTATAAAGGGCAATTCCAAACATATATCTGAATCATTAGGATAGTATACAGATGTGCCAATTAGTGTAAAGGACAAAGATGATAAGATTGTTATGTCTACTGAAAATTTTGCTTATATTAATAATGGTGAACCCAAACTAATGTTATGTTTAGGTATAACATGGATTCAAAAAGTTCAAGGTATTTTTGATCCAAGTAAAAATCAATTTCGAATGAAGTTACATGAAAAGACTTACACTATCCCAACTTTTAGCAAAACCCTAATAGCTAAGGATCTACCAAAAGAGAAGCAGATTTTAGAGGGTCCACATGATTTAATCCAAGTATCTATCGATTTCTCCAGCCTGACTAGTAAGGATAATTTAAAAAAAAATGCGAAGAGCTTGAAAAGTGACTTATAAAAACTGAAAAGTGGCTTGATATGGCTCTAAATACAGGTAAGGTTCTTGCAGAAAGATGTTCTCAACTTACTGAGACAAAGATGGAAGAATAGGAGCTAATCTTTCAGTATCTTTCATTAATTTTTCAAGATCAGCCTTTCTTTTAGATGTATTGTCTATGGAAGAGGCACTTTTTTTTACTGCATATGAGGAATTAGAACTTTGAATCTTTGGTCATCCCATTTCTGTTGATTTATTTGGTAAAACTTTAGAGTAGTTCACATTAGTCGAGAGGCTAGCTTTACAGCTATTTATATTAGATGAATTATTGCTGAAGCCTGGTACTTCGTGGCTAGATATATTATTTATTTCATATGATTGAAGTATAGGTTGATTCTAAGCGACCCTATTATCTTCTTCTTCTTTCCAGATCTAATAAATCTGTTTTGACAATGTTTTATATTTATCTAATAATTTCTTTAAAATTTTGTATCTTGGCTTTATATTACGATATTGCATTATATATGAATAATCTTCAGCTAAAAACAAAGGCATATCAGATTTTATACGTACTCTAACCATACTAATAAGTGTAATTACTTTGTTTTTTATCTAATAAAATATATCGAAAA